CGTTCGTAAACTCGTATCATAGACGCCCAGACATCTGCCAAATCGAATGTCATCATCATATTTCAAAACCATGACTTGAACTCCGGCGAGCTCTAAGAAGCCAGTATCGCCTGAGAGGTTATTTTTGCAATCACGGTAATTGAACTATGTCTGGCTAGTATGGTCCGACCCTCGATATTAAGGCCAGGGATGGTAAATTTCCTTTTCAATGAAAGATCTCACGTGATTTTTACAGAGATACTTCTGTCACTATCACTGGATGAGAAAAAAACGGTAGAGATTTTATTCAAAATCTCATCGATTGTTTTGTCATGACAGAACGTGACAGTGTTGTGAACATCGCAATTACTAGCTCATTTATTGATAATATTGTTACTTGAACCGTGGAAATCTTAAAAATATATTCACTCACACTAAATCAGATAGAAATTTTTATGTCAAAACCGTAAGAGAATTGTTCTCATGAGTGCTTGATCATTGGAGAATGACAAGAAGCTTATGCTAGGTAGTTACGTCTCATGATAGTGACAGGATCTGTTTTCCCATTTTCGCATGACGATTGTAATATTTACCAGCACCAATCAATGCGTAAAAGTATGTTTTACATATGGTAGGATCACAATGAGATGTTTAAAGGGACATGGTAGGGTGAGTTTCCGATGGTCAGCTTTTTTTGGCGTCATGTAATAGTAATTCTACGTAAATTGCTCTCTAGGGGCCTCCCTTAGCTAAGTCGGTAAAGCAACAAGACCATGCTGGAGGTGGCTGAGTTCAATTCCTGGTCCGGTCTAGGAATTTTTCGGGTTGGAAAATTTCTCGGCTTACCTGGGCATAGAAGTATGATTGGACTTGCCACACAACAATGGAAAAATGGTACAGGCATCGAAAGCTCTCAATTAATAACTGTGGAAGTGCATCTAGAACACTAAGTTGAGCTCACACAATAAGCTAATATGCGATATGCAATAAGCTTGAAATGCGAAGAAGAAAAAGAAGAAGACGTAAATTGCTCCAACTACTGCGATGTTATATCACCGATGTCAAGGGAGGCCCAGCCCTTAATTATTGATGAACATGCCAACAGTGTAGGACGCATCTTTGAGTTGTCAAAGTGTTACGAGAGTTCGTTGGTGCAAGCAATGGACATATTTACATTATTTGACAAAACCCAGGTAATCATGACGTTTGAATATTGAAAACAATTTGAATGAAGAAAAGAGACCTACTGCTGTCATGATTACCTAAGAATTGTCAAATAAAGTAAATATTTACACCGATTGCATAGAAGAATTATCATCTTAAACCACAGGGTGTTCGAACAATGCCTCTACGTGCGGACAACCATAATCAATGCAGCATCAATGTCACGCAATTCAGTATACAGTGTACTTAGCTTTCACAGCGGACAGCGAGCTTGCTCAGCCTTCCAGATAAGTACAATATGTATAAATTAGAGCCATGGTTGGTTTTGACTTCAAGAAATTGAAAAATGCAATCTTGGGCTTCTAGAACCTGTACCATGGCCTCCGAATGGTTGTCCTGGGTGTGTGGCATGGTTTTGGATGAATTGGTCGTTAAATTATAAATATAATCGTTCAATCCATAGATCGACCATTTTTACAGAGCTTCCAAAACCTTGTCTGGAACATTGGAACCAGTTCCGAGGCCACTGAATGGTCAATATTGACCTAGGAGGCTGAGCTGGTCTTTTATTATAGGGTATCCCAGAATGTCTAAGCACGACTTTGGAACACCCCTGCTTGTTTCAGATGACGTTTAAACAGCTGATTATCTAGCTGAATCATTGTTTATATTTCGATCAACCGTTTCGTGTATCGCAAGTGTCGGTTCTTTACATTTCCGTGATAATGCGAAGCATTTCTCGGGAAAAACAGATCGTGCACAAATGATGTTCTATCCCCAACATTTATCTGAGTCAATTAGTGACATTGGAAGGTGTAAGCATCGGAGCCTTTCAAAACGAGATTCGGAAGAATGGTGATGAAGTAAAATTCCAGGACAAGCAAAAATCTGAACGCAAACCGAACCCTGTTGACCAAAATCTGGCCCGGAAAATCGTGCAAGCTTTCACTCGCAAGAAAAGTGCTTCAGTTCGAGACGTATTGCCATGATCCGCAAACACGACGCCTCAGTAATGTTTTGACCGGATTTGGCGTTGGTTTATTACTTCAAGGACATGGTAGCCTGATATAAACCTAAGAAGGTCCAATTCGTACCCAAGGAGATGAATCCGCCAAACTGTCCGCAAGCCAAGCCAATCGAAACTTTTTGGGCCCTGACCAGCGGATTCCGTTACAAAGTTTGCAAAAGACTGGGAAACATTATTCAAAATCTCCTTGTATTACGTCTGATCGGATCTCAGATTTTCTACGTTTAACTGTAATAGAATACTATACACAGTTAAAAATAAATTTTAATATTACATCCAAGAGAATGCACTTCAGTCATGTCGAAAATTTCATGTAATTTTTTTGGCCACAAACATAAAAAAATGCAGTAAAAGCCGCGTAATGTCAGTTCATGCACTGTTTCATTATTTTGTCCTATTTGGCAAGTAATATTACACTATATTTTCGACACGATTGAAGTGCATCCGCTTTGATGTGATATTAAAATAAATGTTTTGCTGTGTAGAGAACATGAATACGAAATAAAAATCGAATTTGATGTAAACAGAGTTACTTTATTGTTATTTTTTTTAAATCGTGCTTAGACATTCTGGGACACCCTATAATTGTTTGTGAAACTCTAAATACTAACTCTGGAAAAATCAGGAAACAAAATATGCATGAGTACGTTAAATTGAGGTAAAATGTACGTTATATCGAAGAACACCTGTATTTATACTTCAGAAAATGTGAAGTGACATCATAGTAAAGGCTTGCAGACGCTAAGTCAGCGATAAGTCAAAGGGAACAATATAGCACAATTAAAAAAAAAAAGTGTGGTGATGATGACATTGGGTTTTTCCATTACATAAGAAACAATGCAAATAACCACACTTTAAATTCATTTGTCTTGAAATCTAGGAATGTCACTTAGTCCGGTATGACTTAACGGCAACCATATCACCTTAATGCCATTCAAAACAATTCCACTTTGCAAGGGAGCTCTCAAATGAAAATATATAAACTAGGGTGAATGCGCCAGGTAATTGGTCCAATCTTAATTTATGTAGATACAAGTGTCGTAGACGACTCATTATTAGCCAGTATCCCGTATTGCATTCACAATATAAGGCACACTCCAATGACTCACTACCCATAGCAAAAAGTAAACACACCATCAGTATAACAGCAAATCCAACAACAACAACATGCGTTCTTATACCGTTCCATCGAACAGTCAATAATTATTGTTCATCGCGTTGAATCATAATTGTCGAACCAAATGGTAATTAACCAAAACTCATGATGCCAGATATATTTTCCAATGTAATCTTCTATCTTCTATACATATATAAATGAGTTTCTGTCTGTCTGTCTGTCTGACCCTTATAGACTCGGAAACTACTAAACCGATCGGCGCGAAAATTTGTATGCAAGGGTTTTTGGGGCAGGGAAAGGTTCTTATGATGGTTCGAAACCCCTTCCCCCCTCTGTAAAGGGGGGCTCCCATACAACTGAAACAGAAATTTCTGTATAACTCGAGAACTAATCAAGCAAATGGAACCAAATTTGGAATGTGGAGGTCATAGGGAGTTGCCCCTTAGATAAGACGGGTGGGGGGCTACGTACAATATAGCATGCTTTTTTAATTGGCGCATAAACTCAAGCTAATATTGAATCCCGAGGAAGGTCGGGCACTCTCAGCTACTAACAATATAAAATAAAATAATGTTTGAAGATTGCGTATGTAACCTACAGAAAACTGATATAATAAGCACAATATAGATACAAAGATTTTTGTTGTGCATTGTTGGCCACATTTAATGTTTATAAAATTATTCTTATTCTTCCAGAAAATAGTTTAACTTCAAATTATTTGCTGTGTTGTCAACAAGGTTGCAAAGACTCATTTCAGCTTAAACAATGTTTTTCTAAATTATGAAATAATTAGATGCCATGATCAAATTTTGAATTGGTAGGATACAAGAAGAGGTTGCAAAGAATGTGTTTGACATATTAAACCTGTTTATTTCACTTCATGAGAGTCACAGTCAGCGATTTTTCACAAACTCACTCACTCACTCAGCGATCAGCAAATCGCTGATTGTGACTCATAGAAAGCAAAATTTACAGGTTTTATGTTTCCAACGCATACTTTGTAACCTCTTCTTGTAAGTTACAAGTAAAACATGCCATCATACCATCTTTTGGTTTTATTATTCCGAAAAACATTATTTTACCTGAAATGAGTCTTTGCAACCTTGGTTGTCAAATATTATTTCATTGGAAAAAACTTATTGATAGCAAAACTACCTATATAAACCAAATTGATAATTATTGTTTTAAACGTTTGAAATAAAAAGAATCGAGAAAAATGTACATTAATTGACAAAACAAAACATATCCCGAGGTTTTGAAATAAAAAACTTTGTTGGAGAACTTGTCAGCATATTCTAACGTTAAGCGTCACAAGATAGTTTTTATTTAACTGGTTAACTTTGCCGCAGAAACCAAATTTTCAAAATGCATGATAAGAGCGCAACGGTTTTTGACCGGCAAAAGTGAATTCTGCCCCGTTGTTGTGCGATGTAAGCTTCAGTAAACCAAATCCTCTCTCCTTTCCTGGTATATTAAAGTGAGTTGAATGTTTTGCCACCTTTGATCACTCATACACTAAAGACAGAAAAGAAATAAGATCATTTTTTCGCAGGGCAGTATTACTTCAGAAATTTCATTTGTATTTTAACATGCTATATTATGATGAATCAGCAGTGGTCAAGTGGTCCATCTATCAATTAACAATAGTCACAGATCTATAATAACCTTGTTATTGACTTTTATTTTTTTTAATATTTTTCTCATCTCACACAGGGATGTCCCGTTGATTTAACCCGCTCCATGGACAGCAGCAGTGCAAAATCTATCACGAGCAGTGAAAAAGAAACCACACCAAAACGATTGGCATTTTCCGTAGAAAACATTCTCGATCCAAACAAATTTAACGGCAAACTTTATCAAAACAACAATAATAGCAGTATTAATAATAACAATACCTGTAGCCAAAACAGTAATTCCAATAATCATAGTGTAAATAGTAATAATAAATTTTGGAGCGGATTCGACCGGGATGACAAACTGGAGGATGACCAAAGTGATTCACGATCAGGTAGGTTCTTCACATTAATTGACTATAACCTGTCAGACAACCTGACGAACTCTCTTGCGTTGCATCTCATCGGAACATCAGAAAGCAAACAGATTTTCTCCTGCTAACATTTAGATGCGTTCGAATTACACGCATTTGACAAATAGTTTTAACTGCAGTTTTTGCCATCGCCTCCGTATCAAGTCGTATCGTTCGATGGCTTCGTAGCAATGCATACAGAGCCCTGTTGCAATTCAGGGTCCGGCTTTATCTCGTATTGCAAAATACTTCATCCCGTCTAAGCTTACTTCGATGCCTGGTAGAACTTGCCACGTGAAATGCTCTAGCAAAAAACTGCCCTCCGTCGAGCCTTATAGAACATAAAAAATGCTTCAACGAAAGAATTGCAGATTCACCGGAAAAGAGAACGGTATATTGCATCGAAGCATGCAATGGGGCAAATGTGCATGACTGCGATTGCACATGTACACATCGGTCAATGGGATGCCACATACGAACGCAACGATTGATGCATCATGCATGCTAAAAAGCAGATAACACTTAGGCAAATAGACGTTCACGGTAGATAGCCTTAGTCAATCGCTGTTCAGCTGCTTGCACCAGCATACTTTCAAATTGAATGTGACAAAAAAAAAGAAAAATTCAATAAATTCTACTAGGAAAAACAAAATGAACGAATGCGACCGATTCCACTAATGGAATATGAAGAGATTTTCTCATACAAATTGTAAACGGTTTATCAATATTCAATCAAGATTCAACTGTAATAAGGATTTTTGCGATTCAGTTCATCGGTTTTTGATTGGAACAAACTGTTTAATTTTGGCGGACGTTTCCATGCCAATTAGCATCATCGTCGAGGGAAAAATAGTTTTGATCTCGTCTTACGGCTTTTTTTAAACGTATAATTCTAGATGGAGTTAGAATAAGGCACAAATAACGTAACACATGGAGGGGGAGGGGGGTCGAGCTTGCGTTACTTATTGCTACATAAGGGGGAGAAGGTATTGGGAAATGTTACAAAACAGATTGACCAAAGAGAAAAAATATTCTAAAACGAAAATAAATAGTTTGCTTATAAATAAATGCACGCAAGCCTTGTATCTATAACACAATAAAAACATTTAAAACTCTTATTTAAGAGTTTTTATTCAATCTTAAAAATAAGGAGGGTGGGCGAGTGAGTTTGCGATACGTATTGGGGGGGGGGGGGGAAAGGCTCGTCAAGCGTTTGTTACATAGGGGGTCCATAATCAAGATTTGCGTGTGATAAGCTCTTATTCTAGTTCTATCTAGAATTGTGTGTTGCGTTTTAGCTCTGCAAAATTTAACCGTTTGTTCCAACCAATTCTTTAAGGGTATTGAAGTAAATGCATATTCGTAATCTGCATTAAAAATGAAACCCAAACCCAAAATTTCATCAATTTTGGTACACTGGAACTATTTTAAATAAGTACGATTACATTTGCAAAAATCACCTTATTAGCGCCTCATGATGTCACTTTGTATGGGAGCGAGCTGTCAGTTTGTCAGATGAAAGTGTGTGGGTTCGAAAAAAATATCGCTGTGCTCAGAACACGAAGCTCTTTCAGATGATATATAAAAACCGATATATTTTTTTCAAAATAATCAATACTTTTTAATACTCTATATAGAGCTGGAAATAGGGCGTAACAGCTTTTGTAAACAATGACTTCTCTCGATGATTTCTCTAAAGTCATGCCTCTCCCTGGCAAATCTACATAACCATCGAGTAGAGGAAGACTTCTCCTACCCGATGAATATACTGGTTTGTGTTGACGTGCCTTGAATTCCTAGAAATCAACGAGAGAAGTCATTGTTTACAAAGGTTGTTACGCCCTAATTCCAGCTCTATCTAGTATTGTTCTTTGGTTTATTGTTTTTTACATTTTAAATATTCAATGTTTCAAACATTAATGAAAATGTATGCGATATGTAGCGTAAACTACCTAAGTACCACATTACATATGTGGAACTCGATCATCAAAAATCGACCCTTTCTCAGTGATTTCAAGTGGCATAGAAGAACATCAATCTGTCAAATTCATTATACCAGCTGTAAAATGAGTAAGGGGATCAAGGGGGTAGTAAATTTTATTAAAATAATTCTAACGTGGTTTAAAATGATGTGTCTTCTTAGTAATCCTGAACTCATGTCATAGTACTTCCTTAACCATTTACGTTCTTAATGTATAAAAATAAAGCTAGCTTTAACAAATTTATCGCATTGCTTCACACAGCAAAATATTAACGTTTGCATGAAAAAAGTAGACATTATTTTCCGATTTTTTATGAGATGTCCTGCCACCCAACTATTTACAGCCCAATTTTGATACCGAAACGTATTGTTTTTCTATAATTATGGCCAAAAAAAGTGAGGAAACTCCACGCGTTCATTTCTTTCTTCTTCATTCTCTAAATTTGCGCGGATTATTTTTTTAAATTTTGTGGTAAACATAGAATAAAAATGTATGTACTATTTTTTCTTTGGACATTTTTTTTTTGTAATCAATAACATCAATCTTTGATTTTATTAGGTTTCATGCGGGGAAAAAACGGCAGTGCAGATATAGAGTTAAGTGCATACATTTTGAAGTCCAGAGAGCAGCAACAAAATTTTCGAATTGTTTGCATTGCATTACATTCAATTAACATAATATCCGTAAGGAATCCAATACAATTCAACCAGGTCGAAGAGACGTAGAAATATTGCATCTGTGTACCTATTTATTACTGTTTAACAACGCTCTTGATTGACTTCTGATCGTCTTGAAAATTCTAGTGAAAATATTCTTTGAGAAGCCCCCTGTAGAGCTAGTCGAAAAAAGAATGGCCGCATTATCAAATGAGCTGTAAACAGTAAACTCCGTCAACCCTTTAAACAGCGGAGGAACAAAAGAGACGATAAATTCTCTGGGCCTCACCTCCTTACACTCATTGCGCATTACCTTGACAATTGACAATTCGCCTTTTCGTTCACTCTGTAACTCTTTACTCCTATGGTAAAATGCGTAACATCCCATAAGCAAACATCAGTCTGTGCGTGAAACATGGTGAACATTTCCTTACCCTTTCACTCCTATGAAAATCCCATAATATACTGTCAATTTTTCCGCGAGACGGCGGCTTGCTGGTACCATGGTGGAATGAAGAGATAAGACAAAGCCCGCTAGATTTCAAGCACACATTGTCAGATGCTCATGGAATTTTACCATAGGAGTAAAGGGTTGTAGAGTCGCCGTCAACATCAATGCTTACTGAGCATGCAACCATATATCTGCTTTTCTTTTATAAGGGCCAATTCCGCAAACGCAAATAATTACATTTTCGGCGAATTTCTCTAGAATGAAAACTCACTCAAGTAAACCATTGGTGGCTTACATTGATTGACTTTGACCTACGAGAAATTTACGAAAGTAACCATTGCTTACGTTTTCGACATTGGACCTTATGAACGCTGAGTGTCGATATTTCGAAAATTTTGTTTTGACACATCGATGTCCGACTATGCTAGTTACAGAGCTTTTTGACGTTTAATCGGCGCACACTAATGCACCATTTAAATTGAAGTAGTGCGAGGAAGAGGGAAACAGATTAGTGGGAAAACAAACCATCCATTCATCCCTGTGTGCTAGATAGAGAAAGACGCTTAAACGTCAAAAAGGTCTATACTGAGGCAACACAAAAAAGGGGTCAACTTTTAGTCAGTTATTTGGCATGAAGCTCCACATTAGGGTGTTTTATTCTGGAAAAAGATTGATATTTTTGATAGGCCACCCCTTAGGTCAGTTCATAACACAAAAACAAACATCTGTGCAAATAATCAGCTAAATTGGTCAACGTTAAGAGGTCTCGCCAACGATTTCAATTTTGTTCGGGATTCTCTTCAAATTAGTATCGGAGAAAATGATGACCCACTAAAATCATTCTAACTTTTTTCTTAATGAACTGATTTGCATGAAATTAAAATATATTATACATAAAACTATAATAAACAATTTTGTTGAAGACTGCAAGTCGATTTGATGCTCCAGAAAACAGAAATTGGCTTTCGGAACTCAGATTGCAGATAAACCTTGATTTGAGCAGAAAAACAGGTATGCTGATAGGGCATATTTCATAGTATGCTTTGCCATATTTTTTTTTACATCAATGTTTATAAACATATTGTGCTGTCATCTCTGGATACAATAGTGCCATGGAGTTGAGAAGTGATACGGAGAGGTGGATGATCGGTCAGTACATTACCAGGTTCACCGGTAATTGCGGTATGTTTGCGCACATCGCAGAAATTTACAATAACGTTTGGCGAGTAAACAACTATTAGCCACCTTAATCAGGACCACTACCGAGAATCCCTGACTACAATGGCCTCAAGATGCTTACCACACGGGGTACACTTAACACAGAAAAACTCCCATAGAACATCACCTTTCAATGCTATTACCACTTATATTGATTTAATACTGGCATTTATTCTCCCACCTCTATCGATTAATCTCCTAATGACTTACTAGCTAATCTGACCAGATCTTTGGTTCTTCGGTTATTCGGGGCCCCATGGTCACGTGTCTTAGTTCTTCGCCTGCTCCTCTCAGATTAAACCTCCTTGGGCGGCGTAGTAATCCATTACTCCTTCGCGCGCGACTGATCTGTACGATTCGTATTATGGGGTGATGATGGCTTTCACCTGAGTTCCTGTCCTGCCGAATTCGTGTTGGAAATGCTCTCCGGTACGTCTACATAGCGTTTCTGTTTTAAATACACCGGGGTCCTAATAGACAAACCGTTCTTATTAGGGATTTAACCAAAATTTCGGCTTTGCTATGTTCCTTGCCGTTCACTATTTTCGACCTACTATCCTCCATTTTCTTCTAACGTTCCACAATTTCAGCACTTCCCTCTACTTAACTTGCAATCTTTTCACTATCTAGACTTTTCCTGTTTGTAGATTAGCGTTTTCTACTTTGAACTGTTCT